TGTCTCCAATGTTATGTTTGGTGGTGGATCGTACGAAACGGCAACAGTTGTTCGTCAATAGATTTCGCACATGTGCTTCCTTTGCTATCATGGTTGCCTCATTCCCTGAAAGCGGTGCTGTCTCTGATATTCATTTGCGAAAAATACTTAAGCTCAATGATTATTATGTGACGACTTCCCACCGCATAATATGTTTGAAGGGATGGTTATGAAATTCGAAGAAAGTAAAGTTGTGAATGTCTCATGGTATTATTTCTGTTGATGGGTCTTGCGAAATGTGCCAATCGCTTGCAATGAGATGTTGCATATGCACCTGGGAAGGTCATGTAGAGGTAGGCTTCGCGTCGCGAATGGGGTGTATGCTTGTGAGGGTTCGAGTGGAGACCGTACCGAATTTGAATGTACTCTACATCACATCTTTCTTAATACTTTCATTCATCAGTTGGTGGATGTTCGTATTTGATGGGAACCCTACATGTGGGTTGACTAAAGCCTTCAGCATCTGCATGGGATGTTCCTATTTATGATCAGCTGCAGAAGATGAGCCATTTCTCATGGAAATTTAGTGGCACCGGAAATATCGCAATAGGTTGGGTCTGTACTTCATCTTAGCATCAAGCTATTCAAAGGGAGAAAGTTCGGTAAGACCGCTTTTCTTCCTTGACTCTTTGACTGGGCAACCCTGCTTTGAAAAGCATTGAGGTTTGTATTCATTTCTAAGCACTCTATTATTGCTAAGTTTTACTTTCTTGATGGTTTTGAAAAAGTCTCGCCGCCAATGTTTTGGCTCTACTCTTGGGCCTCCATCTTGCTGTCGAGCATGCAAGTCCTATCCACCCTACAGTGCCAACCACCAAAACTGACCAAGCACAATACCTTTGCCGTGTTATTTTGTCCTGACTCCATTGTATCATCTCTTTGAAACAATATTGCTTAAACTTACTCTTGAGCTCAGTTGTTTTATCATTTTTTCGGCTATTATCTTTCACCCCATGCGGAGGGCAGGAGGATACTGTATTTGATCCCACTTATTGTTCCACTCTAGGTATGTTAGGTTCTCCTAGCCATCTTCCCTCTTAAGTTAACATTTAAAGTTCTCAATCCCCTTGCAATCGAAAGAAAATGAACTTGTCAAGAAATACTGGTTGAGATTTGTTATTAAAAAACCCATTTGTTTTACAATCAACCTTGATAAATAATAGCACCAGCCAGTGGCAAAAATACGAAGACATCATAAATATAAAATGATAAGCTGACTGAATTCTCCTTTGATCGGGCTACAGGTCAACTTAGTATCCTCTTGTTCTCGGAATAGTGGCCTCGCAAGCCTATCTATGCTAGGCCTTCTCATGCGTACCTTTCGCACTTTTTCTTAGTTTGTCATTTGAAATCGACAATATAACCTTTCCTGGGAGTCAGATTGTTTTACTTCATCTATGCTCCAATCATCGAAAGGGAAGCGGGGTCCCCCTTACTTCCATCTATGTCTGCTATTGAGGGTCACTTCCCGTATTTCATGGAAGTGGAAGACCTAAACCCCTCTTAAGGCTACCCCACGGGACACGGGAACGTTTTGAAGGCTTTTCTTCATGCGCGCTATATGGGTTGAATTAAAATACACATCGCACACTAATTGAGTAGACTGCATCTTCTAGACACAGTTATCCTTCCATATGATCTGCTCCGTATAGCATTTGATGTTTCTCAAAAGTAAATAAATCAAGAAGGCTGCTTTCTTAACTGGACTGCCGTGAGCTGCTTATGCATTTGCGTTACAAATTCCGCTTCACCTCAAAATTAATGCACATTGTGCAATGAAAGCGACTTTAATCGTCAACCCACGAGGTGCAAGCATTCCATCAAGATGCAAGCAACACCACAAAAGGTGAAATTCCTCTCTCGGTATGTTTTGGTACAATTTATGGAAACTACTTACACAAATCAAGTAAAACGCTTTTCCAAGTTAAGGCTTATTTCTCCGAGTAGGAACTTTCTTAGGAGGGGCAAGGCGTTTTGTGTTGGCGTATTGAAGATGAAAAAGTTGGCACGACAGTTGTTTGTAGTGCTTATTTGGATTTATTGCCACTTCGCGTGCATGGCCTAGCGGAATTTCATTTGGTATGTTGTCTGTTGTTATTTTTGATGCAAAATACGAATTTGAGAGCACTTAAATGACACAGAAAGAAGATGCAGTTTGCTGCGTTTCATTTGTGTGTTTTTCTCGTTGATAGTTTTACATGATAGACGGGATCAAGATGCACACCTCCAACGATCAGGAGTGGACACATTAAATGGCTTGGCCTCCCTGGTAAGCGCTTTCATCTTGGTAGATCGACACTGTGTATTAATTGTTTTCAAAATAAAAGTCCTCTTCAATGAAAACATGTGGATCTCCATCAATATTTCAATGCACATTATGCAATTTCGCTTATTTTCGTACCTCATTTAGTTTTACCAAAATATTAGACTTATTCCCAAGGCCAATGGAACATTGCAGCTGTATTAGACCTGATTTGATGCAAAATAGTTTCCTAAAATTCTCAATTGTTCACGATATTGCTGCCAGTGACTTAGTGCCTTTTAAATATCCTCACTGAAAGCATACACCTAAAGCGGAAATGGAAACTAGCTACCAGTAACATTTTCACGACCTTGGCACTGACGCCAGGTCATACGTAGGTAAGAAGGAAAAGGCTTGACTAGTTTCTTTTAGTCCTTCATCTTGTCTCCTCCGAGGTCATTCGCGAAAAGTATTTCCTTAGGCTTTAAAGAGGACTGAACCAAACTCGCTGAATAACCCATTAGCTGAAATAGCCCTTGACTTCCCATACTCAGTAGGACTTATTTGGTTGGCAAATTTGAGAATCAAATCACCCGAAATTTGCATAAAGTTCACTTGACTTTTGCAGAAGAGATAAATTGATGCTTCCTTGGTGCACATAAATCTGCAGATGTATTTCAAAGTCCACTGTATTTTGTTTTACAGATTTGATGCCTTTTTTCTTAAGTAGCTAAGATGTTTGTCAAGAAAACTATTTGATTTTGTGTCATTAAAAAAATTTCACTGCTTTCTCAGCAAAGCGCTTTGAAATGCCCTGGTCCCAGCCATCAGCTCTAGATGAGCGTAATTGCATCAAAATCCAATTTAACCACTTCCAAACGATTATTACGCTAATTTAGCATAAATACAAGGATGTGAGCCTCAATGGCGCCTTTTCATACTGTGTCCACTTTGCAAGTTTTGCCAAACAGATTTCTCGAACACCAGAGTATGATTATCATTACCTTATTTATCACCATTACACACTATTTTGAACCAAATGCAATTTCGAGAAAATGTGCTGTGATGACGCATAATGGGTCCATATTGCTGAGGCCCAAACCTCATCATTGCCACACCTACTTGGAGGCAGAGACGCCAACTCCTTCCCCTCATGTAGCTCTATGCATCGAATTGCTGTGCACCCATTTTCCTGCTGAAAGTAAGCCACTCATTTTACACACGTAGGCCACAACGCACTTCTCCGCTTTCTTTCTTTCAGCGATTTCTCGTTGTTGAAACTTTGGATAATTAATAAGCACACCTGTTGAGGGGGCAAGAAATTACTCGGTCTGGAAAACATTACTTACATATCACAATTCCTTGCATTTGTATTGGACCATAAAATTACGCAATCAAGTGGAATTCGAGTGCACGCAAGTATGTATTTTCGACCGGGTGACTTTTGGTGCACTGGACCGTCCCTTTCTTGTTTGCCCAGGGGCACACAAACACCTACGCAAACACGCAGACAACTGAGCGTGTACGCTACAGGGTGACCTTTTTCTTTCCTTTTCACTCACTGCACTAGTGGCCTATTTCACTTTCTTCTAAAATGAGTTACTGTATTAAAAAAATATTTTACGATGCTATCTCAGAAATTATTAGTTTTTGCCTGTGAGAAACGAACGGACGCCACCTTCCTCGTGGTTATGTGCTATTGACCGCTTCACACCTTGTTTAAACGCCGAATAGGAAATTCGTCGAATGATTTACATTGGTAACTACTTCACTATCCCCTTTTGTACAAAATAGGAAAGCATGCTTTTTAAATTTTCGTGGTACAGGACCTTACTACGTTAAGACTTCATTATACTTGAGTCACAAGTGTTCTCACTCGCTCCCAACAGCTCAAATGTACCACTTGAGTACAGTGCAGAAAGTCTTATGTTTTGCTCCCTTATGTAGGCTTGGGCATTGCATGGTTTAAAACGCTAGTTGAGTCAATCCTCCGGTATCGGAATGGGGACATAGATAATTTGTTTTCTTTTGATTTCGTGAAAACTTGACCGTATGACTTGGAATTGCGTTTCTCGAATGATTCGCTTCCTTAAGTTTGCATCTTCATGTGTGCAACACTAAGGCCAACAAGCATCACTTGCGTATGCGGATGGGGGGATTCCATTTATACTAAGCCGATGTACTTGATTTTAGCACGTGACTGGCTGTATGGAATCGGATTACATTCCTCTTAACATGTAATTTATTGAAGAATTTCATAGACTTGTTCACCACATGTGCATTTCGTCATGCGCGTTAGAAGACAGACAACTTTTACATAGGGTATTTTTGACCGTCGAATAGTCTGGCGCTACTTTCAACCATTTAATTTATAATGACGTAGCATCAACCTCGGATTGATTCAGTCTAATGTCTATGCCCACAATTAACGTGTCCCTACCTCATAGGCCAGTCAGATTTCCCGTTGTGTTCTAGCCAATGACTGATGCGCATGGATCGACAAATGGGAGTGTAGGTACACGCGCACACAGGCACATGGCAGAACGCGTACAGCTCCTCGCTTTATAGAAAGCGCCCAAATAAGCTTCCAGGACATTCGTACAGTATATTTACCCCTCTTCATGCGTACATGCGCTTACGCTAATGCCACGTTCTCTTCATTTACTGTAATAACTGCTCGAATGTGAGGATAAGCGAAGCTTCTCTCTGCTTTTGCTTCATGATGCTGGCTTTAACTCTATGGATAATTCTTCTCTTCCCACCTATATGCACCTGGAGAATTTATGAAGATGGCCATGGAATTTTTGCGCATGATAAAATAGAGCTCCAGGTATACGAGAACGCCACCGTTGGGAGTATTGTGTTGCCTAATCTTCGCGAGTATTTGCATATCTCTTCTGATCGACAGGTTCGCCTAGGCCCAGGTGCGTTCAGCTCCTTCTTTTCTCTTGCTAAAAACTACTCATTGCTCGTGCAGAGTAGTCTGGACTTGGAGTCTGGTGATTTGTGCCGAGCTGAAGAGTCATGCTGTCGAGCTGAGGATATGGCTAAGGAAGACAATTACTTGCTCTATAGCCGCTTTACTCCATCATGCAAGATAAGAGCTGTCGTGCTAGCGGACAATGGGGAATCGACGCCTCTTAAACCAATTGGGCGAATAGTGGCAATTATTCAGGATCTGAATGATCATGCGCCCGAATTCATACTACCAAAAAATGATGCCAATTCTGTAGCTCAACGTATTCACATACCATTTTTTGAAGGTTTTAAAGGGGTTGGTGAAAAGTTTCAGTTGCCAAAAGCCAGAGATAAAGATTTTCTTCCGGAAAACTCAATGCTAACTTACTCAATAGCCATGAAAAACTTTAACTCGGTTAACTTTCCATCCTCGGCACGAAACGAGATACCAGTGTCTAGTGGCTCTCCAGCATGGGTGGGGGTGGGTCCTTTTCGGCTTACATACAAGCTCAAAGAGGACACTTTGACACTTGAAGTGGCAAGAGAACTCGATCGGGAATCTCAGTCTGAGTACGAGCTGACCCTTGAAGCTGAGGACGGAGAAGGACAGAAGGCCACCTTAATTATCCAAGTTCATGTTCTTGATGTGAACGAATACGAACCGAAGTTTGTTGATGTAAGGCCAATTGGTTCCACCGAGGTGTCCAGGGCACTGGATTACAGCAGACGAGTAGTCAAAATTTATGAAAACGCCACAGTTCACTTGCCCTTTATTCAGGTCATTGCTGAAGACAGAGATGCTCCACCAGCTAATCAAATTGCATATAAATTCTCACCTAGCTTCCATCTTAGCGAGGCCGCCTCAGTATTCTCGATTGACTCGAACACTGGGAAAATTAGTTTGGAAAGGCCTCTTGATTTTGAGGAAATCAAACGTTACGTGGTAGTTGTGCAAGCAACAGATGCGAATTATGAACTTAATGTGGGAGAAAAGAAGGTGCTACCGCATTCACTGCAAAAGGTCACCGAGGCTATCACAAACAGCATTAGAAAGGAATCCAAAACTGCAACATTGGCACTCGAGATAGTAGTTAACGATTGCAATGACCATGCACCGGAAATAAAACTGCAAGGTGCTGTCAGCAATGCTGCAGGCTCTGCAAAGGCAGGTATTGATGAATTGACTGTGATGGAGACTGCACCGCCAGGTACTTCTCTGGTCTTCTTCAGTGCTACCGACCGCGATCAAGGAGACGCGGGCGTCTCTCAGTGTCATTTGCTTAATTGGACTGAATATTTTCGGATTTACAATTTCTCTGACTTCTTTAGTTTGGAAACAACCAAGGAGTTGGATCGTGAACTTCAATCACAATATCTCTTAACCATTGAGTGTTTCGATAATGGCAATCCGCGTCAATACAGTCAGAAAAGGCTTAGAGTCATACTTTTGGATGTAAATGATGCAGCACCAACTTTTCAACATGCATTTTATTCTTTTCATGTGCTAGAAAATAGTTCTCCTAAAACCAAACTGATTCCTGTCAGTGACAGCTACATTAATCCAGTTGTTGCATTTGACAGGGATATAAATTCAACAATAACCTACCATCTGGAACCGATTTCAACTGTCGATTCGGATCAAAGAAACATGTTCGACTATCAGTTATTTGATGTGGACACAAACTCTGGAACACTCTACACAAAGAGCAAATTGGATAGGGAACAGAGAGCAAATCACAAATTTAATCTCTGCGCTAACGACGGGATACATAAGGCATGCACAAGCATAATTGTTCATTTGGATGATGTGAACGATAATCCCCCATTATTCGACAAGGAAACGTACATAATTCGACTGGTAGAAAACACACAATTTTACGAGCCTCTTATCACTTTTCACGTAACGGACATGGACATTGGGAATCAGGGCTTCTCTATTATAATCGAGGCACCACAACTTACGGGCAACGCATCAGATATGGGGAATGCTACAGACGATTTGGAGCACTTCTTTTCTATTCGTGACAATAAGTTGTTTTTGCGCCAACCTCTCGATAGAGAAGCAAAATCCCACTATCACTTTTTTGTTAGAGTTACAGATTTGCAAAATTTTGGTCCAGAGCGTTCTCAAGAAGGTCTTTCAAGCACAGCAGAAGTTTTTGTTGAAGTTTGTGACACTAATGACAATGCTCCAGTTTTTGTATTCCCCAATACCAGTGCTGCAAATGAAGGTGGCAATCAGTTGAATGTCTCCTGCCGCGAAACGATGGGCAGTTCCGTTGGTCGCGTTGTAGCTGTTGATTTGGACCTTGAACAGAACGGTACTGTAGTATACTCGGTTATTCAAGGTCCAGTGTCAAATGAGCTCTTCTATCTTGACAAGCAGTCGGGTGAACTCTTTGTGAATTCGGGAAGGCTTAGTGAAAACTGTGACTCAGTTTTCCTTCTGGTCATCTCTGCTGATGATATGGGGCCGCCAAGTAGTAAAATGGGTCGTCCCATTCCAGTTGAGAGGTTGCTTATAAGACTGAAAGACCAGCCCACCCTAGCGGAATATATGTCTCTGAACTCTCAACAACCGACTACCACGAAAGGACGTAGTGATTCCAGGGGTGACAAAAAATACTTCGGCCTGCCCGCTAAAACAATGCTAAGTGTTGTGCTAGGAGGATGCATTGTCTTCCTTACTGGACTCTTTTTGGCATGGCTGATTCTAACTCTTATCAGTCGGTCTAAGCGGAGACGACGAGAAAGAAGAGAGGAGACTCCATGTCAGCCAATTGCTTCACACTGCTGCGAAGCGCGGACGCTCTTATCGGATGGTAAACATGAAGTATTTATCCACCCGACAGGCACTTTTCCCCATGGATTAGGTCCTAATGGAAACAGGCAATTTATACAGTGCACTCTGGGCGAAAAGGATGAAGGCCTGGGACTCCGAGGTGGGTTTCCCCACTGTATCACCTCTTTTTAAGCATCATTCTCATTAGTGTTAAAAATGCGAATAGAACTCAAGGAACATGTGCTCATTGTTTTAAATAAGGTGAAGGAAAGTGCTTATATTTTGGGAGTCTACAGAACCCTCTGTGTCTTTGAGGATTCACTGGTACTTGTCGACAATACCATGCTCGATTCTTAATGAATTTTCACAATAATGTACAATTTGAGATACTCAGGTCATGTCAACACAATGGGCACAATTTGTACCACCCAGGACACTTTGTTGTTGCGTGAAACAGATCGCACACATTTCATCCTAGTGTATTTCCATTCGCCTAGTCCTTCATCACACATGCTAGTTTAAATTCCGACCTCGAAAAAATGGTGTTGCAAAACTTGTTCTAAAGCTCGTGCCTCAAACTACCAGCAAGCGTTCTCCGTAACTACACTTTTCCATCATAATATTCGATCCCGCTTCGTATAACCGCCTTGGCTCCTCCCTCGAGTTGATGTAATCCGCAGATCGTACCCCACAAGACCTCCCATCATAGCCCTTCATTCTTTACTTCTACTACCTAAATGCACCTAATTTTAGGATTAGCTCCTTTTCTTATAATCCCCAAATTTCAGCAGCCTATGTCTTCCGACTCTTAACCACATTTAGTATACCTTTTGCAAAAATACAGATGGATAAACTTGATCGAATCTGAAATAAATCACGGGACTGTCATAGTCATAGTTAATTGTCAATGTTAGCTAGCATTTATGAAAATCAACCACAAAATATGCCTGCAGCTTCAGATAAGTAACTCGCAATTTTCAAAGAGCCAAACCAAACTCCTCACTCTTATCTTTTAAAGAGCAATCCGCATATTTGATGCTAATGTGGGACTTGGAGCTAATTATTGTAGAATTTATTAGCTTTGAAAACGGATTAGTTGGGACGATTTCGCTGGATGATAAGAAGCCTCGCCTTGTGCAAACGCGAGGCGTGTTTAATTATGCGGGAAGGGCGATGGCTCACTTAATTTTGGGTTTGTCGTTTCAATGATTTTTTGGGGGAAGAGTTTTGTGACAGCATGTATCGTTTCATTGTTCATTTTATTCTCATAGCCTTTTTTATGGGTGTCAGGTGTGCGACGATCTCGCCCACAGAGACTTCGCATGTACGCTTATTCAGCAGTGGTTTAAGCGACCCTTCATAATTCAGAGAGTGCGGTTGTTAATTTTCCTGTTGACCATGAAGTTCTCATGCCTGAAGTGCATTTATAGCCAAAAGCTAGTTTATTGCTTATAAGCTGTTGCATTTTCGACAGCTCACCTACTTTAGGTAGCACTTTTGACTCCTTTAACTCATTGGCATGTAAATCTGAGTATATTTGGCAAATAATAGCCGATTAATGCCATTTTTAACCATGAATTTGATTGTAAGAAGACATGCTAGTTGAACTTTTTAAAGAAAGCCTGAGCTGGCATGTATAACTTTGTTTTTCAAGATCTAGTGATCTCATATGTGGTTTACTTTGTGCTTGTTTTGAGTTTTGTGTGCAGCCACCAAAAGCTGTCCCTTTTTCTTAGGCTTACTTGTGATGACATGCGCTTTAAATGCAAACCTTTGCTGTCGAAAATGTGCTCCCGATCCTCCAACCTTACTACTAACGATAAAAACGCTTGCCGAAACCTTTTCCTCTCTCGCCTTCCATCTCGGGCCACGGTAACTAATATTTCATCACCATCTTGGTGATTACTGTACGCCTTAGATTAATTGCCAATACTGGTGGCGAGGTCTTAAATAAATAAACACAATGCAAATAAAATCTACTATGTGATGACGCGTTTATGACCCTCCACAATATCTGATTCCCCTCACCAATTAGTTTCTTAAATCTTAACCGTGGCATGAGGGCAACACCTTGTATTACAAGGTGGCTTGAATCTTCTAATGCGGACGTCAGGATGTTGACAGAGCTGCGAGTTTCTGCGTCCAATACCGAGCCTGATTACCTGCCGTGAAGCCGTCGTAAGAGCACATATGCAGGAAAGAAATCACTTTGACAGATTTATGGAAGGATATTTGGGCGCACGTTACCAAAAAAACTGTAACTGGTTTGTAATGCAAACTGAGAGCATATGCAACGCTAGTTGATGGAGTTTTCATTCCCCCAAACCTAGTGCCTATTTCAAGCCATCAGTCTGACTACTACTACTACTACTACTATTTTTCACATGCTAACAACTAACCGAATAAACACTTTTTGCAAGTCGCAAAAATGGAGATTATTACTACTGAGTAACAGAATTTTGTTCAATAAGCCCATGTGAGGCTTTCGTACCGGGTGCATCATCCTGTATCATGATAGGGACAAGTGATTTATCAATTTGTTAATCAAAAGGTCACATCTGTTCATTTGCTGTAGAACTGAACACAGATGAGTCAATGTCTTCTAGAGCCAGTCCCTATGGTCAGAGCGCTAGTGTGGACACAAGTCAGCCCTTGAATACTGGTGGACTTATTTCCCGTATCTCATCTACCAATATAGGCAGTCAAATAAGTCGGTCGTCGCCCATGAATTTCAAAACAGCAGTAAATTTAAATGCTGTTGAGGTATATTTGCCTTAGATTTGTGTACTGTTCTTCAAGTTTATGCTCAACTCTTTACTGCCAAACGATTGAGAGTGTAAATGTCCAGCCTTATACCACACACACACACAATCAAGCTCTGGGTGATTCAAAATTGTACCACTCGCTGAATAAATAGTATGGCGTGAAATCACGTTAACCAATAAGTTAGTAGTAGATATAGAGCGGGAAGGTTATTCGAAGGTGAAAGTTGATCAAAAGATGGAATGCTGGCAAACCGTGCGTAAACATTATTGGAGAGTAGGAATCGGAATGGGTGTAAATGTTGCCTAGATTAAGTTTCAATTTTTAAATTAAGTTTAAATTAGCCTAAAAACACCCTTCAATCATTGTGACTCCTGCAATACATGAGTGTGCATGTCGCGCCAAAGTCACAGCAATCCTAGTGCACAAAAACTCGAAATTAGTGATTGCAAACCGGTTCTTATAACAATCACTCTAACTTCTTTTACTGTCGCAAATGAGTCTTTGCAGCAGGCGGGGTGGAATAAGATGGCGGGAACCAATACTGCAGCAAACTTGTCTGAGGAGGAAAACAACTTCGTAGTAGTGCCTGGTGATGCTGTACACGTCTCAGCTTCAGGTGAGTTGATTGTTCTTTGCCTCTTAAGTCATACGCAAGAAAGTCACTGCACTTGGGATGCATCAAATAGTCAAATAAATGCAGCTGGCGAGAGTTAACCAAATCTAAGTTGATGGATGCCTGAGATTGTCATTCCTCAAGCCCTCAAGCTGAAATTCTTACATTTTTTCACGCTTACCCCAGCATATTTGATTAGTCGGCTGTTCAGGCTTTATCGTCATTTAGGAATTCAGAAGGACTAACATAAAGCCTTGATATTCAGCGCCCCCTCCTGCCTTTTTTAAAAAATTTTAATCACTTGAACAAGCGTTTGTGCTCAACATTGTTTGTTGACTTGCACACTCGTCCTCGCAAAAATTGCTTGGAGATCACTGTCCCCAGTTTTGAGCGTGCATGAAATGACATCGTGACCCCAAACCATCGGAAGAGGATCGTGAAAGCTAAATTACTGCAAAGAAAATTCTGCAAAACATCGGAAGGTTTGATGGGAATTCACACAGTTGCACACGCGTGAGGAAATTTATTTTCAGTTGATTAAATGGAATCGTTTCAAGTCTAGCGCTTCCCACTCTTCCAGTGCACAACGTGGTCGTTGAATAGGTTTTCGAGCCTTGAACCATGGCCTTATAACTTCTTGACAAATCGGTTAGCAGTTACTCTTTGATTTTTTTCTGGAGACATATGATGGCTTTGATAAGGCATTTAAATTCTCCCCAATTTCGCGTGAACGAAAATTACACGCTATTTGCCACTGACATCTCTGTGATCATTTCCGCCACCGCTTACATTGTGGATTCTTAAAGGGCCATTGAAAACAAAGAATTCACTAACATAAAGCTATAGTTGTTTGAGATATACACAATCTGTTGGGGCATCATTTTACGTACACCAGCAATTAAGGAGTGACGCTTACAGCACTTGTGTTTAAGTCCAGAAAAACATGATTCAGTTTTTATGTGCTTCGTACGTGTGCATTGCCTACCGATCAACTAAATTCAAACATTTCTTTCTCAAAGTGTGCAGACTTTCTGGAAAATAGAATTTGAAAGCAAAATGTCAATGCAAAAATTGTCCAAAAGTGAAAATTTGATCGAGTTCTTGCTTGCTGTGTCTAACAACTGAACACATGTGTTATAGCGACAAGTCCGATATAAGTCCATGTTCATGTGAATGTAATCCATCGCAAAATTTACAATTCCAGCTTGTAGTAGTGACTCTGCACGTTATCTCCTGTTTCCGGCGCTCTCAACACCTTCAACAGCGGTGATCAGTATGGCAAGCACATTGCACAACGACGCTGCGGCCCGCTCTCTCCTAAGACCCTCTTCAAACATGGGTGCCCATTCATCTGATCCTCGACGCAGGTCCCAGTGCGCCTGTGAGGAGAACAAAGAAAAGGTCTACCGAAGTAGGGTAGTTAACAGATCCTTTCATCCATTTCTTACCCCTCCACCCAAGCGCAAGACTTTGAAGCCAGGGGAAACAGATGAAGTTTTGGAAAATGTGCACATAATGTGTGCCGACAATCAGTACACACCTCTTGCCGAATCATCCGCATCTTCCCAAGTGCCATGTGAAAATCAGTATCTAATTATTACAAGGAGAGGAGCTGAGACTGCTCCAGTCTACAACGCGATTGGTAGACCAGTGCTTCGTGGATCCTCCCTCCCACGCAGCTTGCCTGGATGTTCGTGGTCGTTGGAGCAGGTGGGTGAGAAGCAGACGGTGCTTGACCACATCGATGAGGTCAGCGGTGTGTTTTTGGTTCCCACTGTGTCTTCGCCTTCTCACTCACCCAATTCAGGGATGAATAACAGCGTGAGGTCCGCTCTGCATCCCAAATCTTTACACCGGTTTGAGGAAGTCAACCCTTCTGTTGCTCCAGCAACACCTCACCTCCGAGCAGACTATGTATCGCTTGAAGACCTTTTTAGTTCCTGTGTGTAACATGTTTGATGTGATCATCAAGTGTATATTTGCAGATGGAAAATGTGTCTTCCATTGTATAATCGACCCGTCAAAATTTGATATCACATTCCATTTATTTTTTGTTTCTCATTCTCTCAACGACTTTTGCTAACTGAATCTGCATGAAGTAATGCGTTAATTCAAAATTTTATTTCATTTGATATCATCTCCTGAAGAACTTGTCTGGTGCCTTTAAAAACAAACTAATAAAAACCTACTAAATCATTGTTTCTGAAGTCTAAAGTTGTTTAACTTATCGGCTATTCCATAACTAGATGAACCAATTTCAATTCATTGCTTTGAAAATCTAGAAACTGAGCATTTAATCTATTACATGAAGCAGGACTTACTTAAGTAGAAATGGTTATCTTACCGTCGAACAAAGTGGCGGTCTCTATACTGTACAAATGGTAACAATTGCGGCAGCCGTGATTGACCTTGAACTTGACCACTGCGCGTCGAGCCTCCCAAGGGCTATTGTTGAGATGCTTAAGTTTAATGACCTCCACCAAGCCACTTTCTGCTTCAGTGTCAAACAAATGACCATCCGATTTCCGCATCCTTATTATTGCCATTATTATCGACGCTGTATTAGTTGGTCGGACCCCTCGAGTCTCTCTCCACGAGGCCAAGTGCGGCCTGACCAAAGAGATGGATCATAAAATGCCCTGACCAGTGCTTTAACAGATGTAATTTTGGGTAAAATAACGTGTAAGGAGTGATAAGTACTTCAGCCTTCAATGCATGTGGCAAAAAAGTACTTACATGGATGTTATAGAAACACTCCAAACCTTCGTCTCCAAAATGAGCAGTCCTAAGTTCTACTTGACAATTTTTTGCCATTTTTATCACTGCTGGGAGGTGAGGCTCGTATTTTGATGCTTCTTAGACATTTGCATAGCCCCATGAAACACCAGTGACTAATCATAAATGCACATAAGGCCCTAAAAATTATTGCAGCTCGATTAATGCATTTTTTTGTCCTTTGAAATTGCCAAAAATGTCTGGTGAAAATCTACTTTAGCCTTTGATTTGGCGCACTGGGATCAAGTGTTGCATAACTTGCCTCCACGGTGTCTTTCTAATGGGAAAGGCTTCGCGAAATATTGCAGTTGCTCAGAGGCATCTAGTTAAAAGGAGCATTAATCTCGCAAAGAACCAAATGTCAGCAATAAGAGAATGGTTTGAACCTGCAGAGAGTAAAATCCGCGGGAAAATTCAACTAAATTAAAGCCCAAATAGATATTCGCATTCTGTCAGACCCTTGTGAAACTTCGAGCTCTGGTAAAATTAATTCTCCAGCAGAACGATCCCCCGTTGCTCTGCTGTTGCGAGTGGTTAAAAATACTACCGTTTTGTAACCGACAGCAGCGATAAGTTGGCTTGCAGATGCGGTTAGTGGATTGCTTATATTTTGGTCAAAATCAACTGCAATGTTGGCAAAAAAGAGGCTTTGATTAGACACACTTTGTAATGGATTTGGCATCGATAAACTCGTGACATCAAAGTGCTGACATTGCCCCTGCCGGGGAAGCCTCTTTGAGGTGTGCATAAAATTGCATTTGTGGTGAAAATCCACGTATTTAATTTGCGGTTAAAGTACACTAGAATAAAATATTGGTGGATAAACTTGGCCATATAGTCAGGGAAACCACATGACAATTCCAGCTCATACGCATAAGTGGAATGTATTTGAAAAAAATATTGCAGGAACCAATTGTTTTACTCATAAATGCTATACGAGCATACAGCAGCACTTATTAATGCACTTTATTCGGAAGTTTCAAGTATTGCAGGTGAGCAAGATTTTTTACGAGGCATGAGTTTTGTCTACGTCCTACCTATTGCGTCTATTTCGAGGCTTCGAGTTTAAATTTAGCAGTTACTAAGTGCTATATTTCCTTTACCAGTCCAGAAAGTCTATTTATTATGTATTCACGGCCTAGTGAAAAGTGATCTTCGTAGGACCCCAGGAGGAGCGGTAAATAACTTCTCAGTCCTCTGACAGGAATTCGCCGATTGTTGGTGGATATTAGTCCTCAAAACGATGGCATTTCGGTTTACTTAAATTTACCTTTTTCAATAATATGTTGTCCATTTTGCATCGTCTGATGGCACACTAAACTCTTATCATAAACTAACACAATCTCAAATCAAGTCTTGTTTATATCAAGTTGAAAATTATTATTATTATTATTCGTGCCATTTCGGCCAAAACGTTGTGTAGAAGTTTTCCTCCTCCTCCTCCTCCTCCTCTTCCTCTTCCTCGTCCTCCTCTTCCTACTTCACCAGATGGCAAATGTGAGCGACAGAAGGCTGAGTCCATCGGCATATGGTTGTCAGAGCTGTGCTTCATTGTCCCACTAGAATACTCTGAAAGCCAGCAATCAACCTTGTAGTTTCAAACTTTGCCATTTTCGTTTAGAAAAATGTCATCCCTCTACGGTCTATTCTCAGATTTGCCTTGAAGTTTGTTAACCCTGCAAATTTTATTTTGCTCAGAACAATCACTATTAAAGATTCTTAGTAGCATCAATATTATTAAGCAGTCGATGACTGAACTTCAGTACTAATTTTAAGTGGAAGAAAAATATATAATTTTGACCTGTTGGGATATTTCTTTCGCATCGATGCAGATGCCATTAAGTGTCCCAGAGTGAATGCAAGCCACTCCAAGAAAGGATCAAAATCGCGGATTGCCACATCTACAACAATGTCGAATAAACAAACATATTGTGCGCATCAGTTTGCGCCTATCGACACCTTTTCGTTTTGGCAAAGTATCAAACCCTTGCAGTGTGCATTTAAGTTGGGAACTCCCTCAAGCATACTTCCATTATGTGGCAGATTTGTTGCGCTATACTTCGTGCACACCAATTTAATTGACTACAAACAATAAGCCAAATTTAAACAGCGCAGCACGTTCATCTACTTAACAATTAATCCTTTGTTAAGGGGAGTTGACATGATCAAGAGTCGCGTAGATTACACGAATATTGCCCAATGCTAGAACCGTAGGACAGAACATTGTACGGCCTTCTAAAGTAAGCAAACCCTACCACTTCTCGGCATGACTGCATGAGGCAATGCTCAACCAATTGTCGTATAATAGATATAATTGCAATGTAAATTCTTTCCCTCATAACAATGAACAGTAGCAGTAGTGGTGTGTGGCGGTGGTGTGAAAATTCCATCCACTTACCAAGAATGACCTGTCGGAGTATTTATAAGCTGAACCGGTTTATTTAATTGGAATTCAACTAGCTTCTCCTAATCTATTGGTGTCTTTCCGAAGGGACGATAATAAACACAACCACTCTTGATTTAGTTCATGCAGACACTAATCTTTAGATTTAATTTTAACTGCTTGTAACTTGCAATTAACAATTTTTGTCAGGTCAACTCCATTTGAGTGTTTACGTCCTACTGAATAAATAATGAGAGCGATTAAAATGTTACAATTATATTGTTCAAACATATTAAGCAATTGTCTTTGCGGCTCTGGGTCTGCAAGCCTTCTTAACGAGCTTTCATCACACTGTAAACACGAGTTACTTCCAGGCCTTCGTGTACGTGATTTGATGTGTAGAAAGCAAAAGGGAGACATGACCGCCGCATAAAGCCCTCGGCGTAAGGATACGGCGCAAATGTACAATAAGTAGTGGTGTGTTTATGCATCTGGTCCGAAGTTGGTTTGATGAATGAGATCAACCTAATTTGGAGGTGCGAAAATATTACCCCAGTTACTTAAAAGACTTCCTCCGTTAGTTGCAATAGCTTGCTGAAATGAGCTACGAAGCAAGGTCAAACTAATGCAGCATGTAGAATACTGGCCTCGCTGTTTTCTAACCTCATGAAAATCCAGGCTACGCCGCGAATTCCCGAATTTATATTGTAGAAATCTGTGCGACAAAATATTAACTTGTTGTTTTAACTAGAAATGTTACTACAATGCGAGGTCCCCTCAGTCAAAAGACCGTGGGATAACTTGTGTTAGGTTGATTTATGAGTTTGACATTGATGAGATTTGTTGGGTGCTCCTGCTTTCGCAGCCCAGTCAATTATGATCAGTTAGTTCGGTCCACTTGGTTTTGGGCATTTGTTGCCTTCATCAGACGTCTTCTTATGGAAACAGCCAAACGGTAAAATTATCGTATTTGAGCAGTGTCTGCAGAAGGTTCAAATCTGCTACATAACCATAATGAACGCAGTTGTGATTTAAAGCATTTTGTTAAACAGAGTTTAACCAACTACTTTAAATGCGTCTCTTTCAATTAACACGAAAGCACTCATCAGTAAATTGAATTTTGCTATCGCCTCAAACAATGAATAAGTAATTAGCGTGATACTGCAGCATGAACTACTGCATCCACAAAGTGGAGATGTGGACAGGATGATGTTCTCAAAGTTAGTAAAATGTCCCTATTTGAGAATACTTTTTAATGGAAGGATCATAACTCTTAAATGGGTGGACATAATTTATATTAGCTACAGCCCCAAGTATCCGTGCAGAAAAATGTTTTCTATTACTTCATGCTCCCCTAAATGATCTGTCACCTCCACAACGGTCTTTGACTTTGACACTTGTTGACTTGTCACTTCGTCTGGTACAGTTTCACACCGATTGCATAAACGAACTTCACAAAAGTGATGGCTGGACAATTCAGCAGGGTTCCATGTTATCAGCGACATTTAAGTGTATTAGTAAAGAGTAACAGAAACCGTCAATGCTTCAACTCGTAATTGGTAATAAGTGGGGGAACGCAAAATACTAATGCATGCATTCCGATTCACCGTGTATGAACGCAATAGACACACTCGCACCACGTTGAGTAGTTTGAAAAATTTCAATCGGACTGAACATGAAACACCATATGCGAGAAATCATATATCTAACACCAATAAGATTCAGTGTGCAAACGGATTTTCTTGAACGTGTAATACATAATCAGACCTGGAAATAAAAATGTTAAGTAGCCATATCGACGATTTTGTGGATTCCACATATTCCCAATAAATATTCCTTTTTCTAAAAGCGCTGACGAAATCAAGTTCAATCATCTGCCATGACGTGAAACAACTCCGTTCTCCTCTCCTTTCCTTTTCGTATGCATCGCACTGTGAAAGCGCAGTCTAAACCCATCCGAAAAATGGCTCACTACATCCCTCCAGAGCAAGCGCAGAACTAGTTACTCTCTCACTACCAGCGGCGAAAATAACTGATGCGCACACGGACCCCCGGCAATTTCCTTGGGCAAAAGGCACTGCCTACCTCCTGGGTTACTTGCTCGGATTAGTCCTACTCAGATAGCACAAAATTTCAGTGAGAACAGACATTAAACTTACTTCTCCAAATGCTTATCAATTTTGTGCTGAGCTGGTAGACAGAACTGATGCCGCCCCCTCGATCAGCGCACTCGAGAGCTTTCCAGGCCTCAAGCAGTCATTAATCTAAAACCAATCAGTGACACCAGGACCCGAGGTTACCAGCGTCAGATCACTTCGGCGGAACTTCCCACAGTGGTGGTCACTTAAGCGCAACCCATTTAGCCATAATTCTTTATCAATCGCTCGAATTCCACAGCTAATTTGGATGAATTTCCCCGCCACCCCTCAAGATTGTACAAATCAGCAGCCATCGTGGTACCAATGACTACTCTCAACCCGTGACTATCCGTAAAAGCCGCACCTCACAGCTAACAGCAGTTGATAAGTTGCACCCCGCTCAAGGCCAGACAGCCATGTGTCCCACGTTAGAATACCAATTTATGACTTAACGTTTTTAACGTCCGAGAAATGTAGCAAAGCTAATTTGAGCACAAATGCCAGCCGACCGCCAGACACAAAACACAATAGTGATTATACCTAAAGACCACAAAAACAGTCATTCCAAGAAAGTTAGATTCACAATAAAAGAGCGCTTAGATAGGATACTGTTCGACTTAGGGCAATGTGTGATTAACAGCACACAACCCCACTATATATGCATGTATAGAGCAGGAAAATGCACAAGTACAGTGGAAGATCTGCCAAGCTCTTCAGTTACGAAGTGTACATTTTAATTGGCCAATTACATCTTCAGTTGCACACTTCCGGTCTCGGTTTAAGTAACATTTCAGCAGCCCCGGACATGGAGTTGAAGATCGTGACAGATGAAAAAAATCGATCGCTAACAAAAAAAACAATTTGTCAAAAGATTCGAAAGTGGATTTAAGTCTCTAACGTCCCTTGGATTTCCATCGTTGTGCGAACTGATGAAACGCCTCAAAGATAATTCCTAAAAGGCAGAATTGGAAGGTAATCAGGGCGTACCAGTTGGGCAAGATATAAGAATTTCCAAAAAGTTCGGGTAAGCTTTTCTTACTACACTGACTCAATCCTTCCATTACAAGATAGCCCCCTTTGGAGAGTTCAGGAGCACAACACCAAAATCAACCATGCCTAGAGCAGACTTCAGCCAAAGCCTTCAAAGTGAAAACGGAAGTGCCTCAGACTTTTTGTTAGCGGATGACACTAAAACGCCAAGGCCAATCTAGAAGCGCAACCTTTTTCGAAGCTGCACAGTCTAAGGCCAATGCGATCAAAAAAGTGCGCCATTAACTCTTCCAAATTGAACAATTAATTCCAATTGTGGTTAAGGCCGAGTTGACCTAACTTCTCCAATAGGCTGTTTAATCATTCCATTTCTATGGACCTAATAATAACAATTTAACCTGCTTACGAAAAGTTTAACACCATGCTTAGTTTGGAAAAGATAAATAACTTAATTTCTAAAACACAGTAGAGCCGAAATACCCTGGTTTTAATGAACTTATATGCCTCCACCCATTGCCTAATTTGGCTATGAGGGTAGTAGTAAAAGCATTAAGGTACTTACAGCAAAAAAAGTTAAACTCTGATAAGTCAACCGGTTAGACAAACCTGATTCCCATGCTAGTTTCGCCAGATCCAAGGGAATTTCAAGGTCCTGTGGGGCAGCCAATTTGGAGCCCACCAAAACCGTGATCTTTGCACGAGAAACATCCTCGGTAGCAGACAACTGGTATTCCAGTAGATTTACTACTTTAACAGATTTTGCAAGGTTTATTTCAGCACCTCGGAAGTGAGAAGTCTCTTGCGACATCTAGGCAGAAGCAACAAACACTTGGTCCGATTTTTTCCCAAAGTATAACCCATTCCATTTGTGTAAAAGTACAAATTAGTGAGCCTCCAGTCGTACTACAGCCATATTGAAATAAGTTGTAGTAGGCAGTGCAAACAGTCCTTTAGACTTCAAACAACACAAAACAGTCAGTGAAGAGGGAATGCATGTCATACAAGGCTGACTAAACACGCACTCAGAATTAAAACTGAACAACAGTACTACAGAGCTATCAGTAACTGTTACAGCAGCAAGAGCATGACAAATGTCCTAAAAAAGGGTAATATCAAGGCTAGTGCAAAAAGGGGATATAAATAGTAGTCACAACTGAGGACGACACAATGAAACAACTCGCTCGAATTTAAATAGGCACAGTAAATAACATTGTTAGTCAGAACACTCAAGCATGGAGTGAATGCCACAGATTCATAGATGACCGCACAGTCGAAGCATGCCTTAAGATTTCACAACCTTATGTGAATCCTACTCTTAAATGTTAATATGGATAGGTAATAAATATCAGGGTAGGAGAATCGAGGAAGATGAACACACCATTACACAGGGAAAAACACTAACTTATGAATGAAGGACTTAAAGTCGAACCTATGGGTTAAGCAGCTACAGGGAGTGGTTTGCAAAAGTTACAAAAAAAACTTCCACACCTGTGAAAAATAGATAGCACATTCAATTATACCGGCCCATCGAGATACAACACTGAAATCAACGGGCACATCGGCACAACTGTCTACGGCCTCGTTGCCATTCGAACGAGCTTTAGGCAAGCGAATTTTTATGCGCTCCCGCGGGTTTTCATCTTCGGTCTGAATGCGTACGTAGCTGTAAAATAGGGAGTCAAACCACAAAAAGCCAGTAAACACACATCAGGGCCGAAGCCTGCTATATCGCATAATTAGTACAAAGTAGATAATAAGCAGATTAGTCTTTACAACTGAATTAAATCCTTTTCAATACGATTTAATTCAAGTATCAGATAATAAATCGAGTAAAATAACGGTAGGTAGCGATAAAAATGTAATTTCTTCCAATCAAGAGCTAAGTCTCGACAAGTACGAAAAGCACGTTATTCAGTGTTAAAACTATACATTTAAACGGAGATAACAGAACATTAGACGATTTACGGATTTACACAAGCTAGCATATCGCCAAAATAATTTAAAGATAGTGCAACGGATAGGGCTAAAATGAATAAAATTGCACATGATCAGAGAAATTGTGGTAACTTTTCGCTGCAATTTCTTATGCGTCGGCCTACTGGAGCACAACCATGATGCAACTTAGCAAATATTCGGGTGCCAAACCAAAAAAGAGAACAGAAGTTTAGGAAGCAATGTTAGTGAAGAGCACAAAACCGCACACGAACGCGGAGCATTCAACTACATGATTATGGTCAATACCTCAGAGCGATCCACCTTGGCACTATTGCAAAGTACTAAAGGTAACAAGGAATTCAAAAGTAATAATAGTAACGAACCCGCTGCCACCTCCAGTCTGCTCTTCCAAAACCCTAGTAGCTGACCTCGCTGTTGCAGTCGTCTTCTTCAGCTGATCAAGATGCGCAATTACTGGAAAAAAAACAAAAGGTGCTACCTACAAACAGGTGACCAAAAATCAGGAAGTAAAACAGTGCAAAATCAAACAAACCACTTATTGTTTCCTAAAGTTGGCGCTTACATACCAATTCATCCCAGTGAACCTCACGATAGAAATTTAATATAGTGGAAGAATGACATTAACGTATCCAACCCAAATAAATGCTTTATATGATTCTATCGCACGGTCAACGCAAACCTTTGAAGTGACACCATTTCTTAAATGATTGCACTCAAAATCGCATTTTTTGAAGAAGGAAACTACACCATGACGTAGTATTACTTTTGATTCAATGGATTCATTAACCATAAAGCATAACATTTGGAGGTAAGGACGCGGATATGTAAACAATCCCAAGATAATAACCACTACCAAAACAAGACACCGACTATCCTACCTTTTCTAGGTATGATTATGACATATTGATGCGATGCAAATAGGCGTTTCATAAATGTAGTGTTTCCAATTAGGGAGAATGTGTCAACCACGATATACGGAGAATAGGGGAGATGTGAATCCCTCTGACCGACAAAAGGAGCGGAGGGAAGAGTTGCATAAATGCGCTTATCCATTTCTTCAGAGAGCCTATCCACCTGGTTCTTAAGGCGCATTTTCGCCATATTTCGCATGGTTTCCTCCCGTGTAGCCAGTGACGTCGATGTAGGCTAAACAAAAGTAACATTAAATTATGTTTACTTGCATCCATTAAGTAGGAATAGCCAACATACCATGTCAACGCTGGTGACTGAGTGCGGTTCAGAAGTAGGACACAATCGTTCGTCTTCTATACGTTGAGACAGAGCTTGAAATGACTGAATTCGAGGTTTATAAGGCTCTCTCTTTCTTCTTCTTCTTCCTCTTCTTGGTGCGTATTTTCGAAGAGGACCACCATGACATCTTGAGCGACAATAGGAGGTAGACGTGGCAGCGTTTGATGGCAACGGTGCCGTAAAGTAATTAACGTCATGATGATAGACAAAGTTCAGACCCAATCCTTCTGCTAGTTTAGCAAATTTGCGGCCAAATCGGATCAACGCAAGACATCGCAAAAGAGTTTCCTCTATTCGACTACTCAATGAGTTGGTACCGAAATCAAGTGTTTTGTGCAGGGATGAAAGAGATGGAATACCACGCAGGAGCCAGTCCTCCGGCAATGCCACCCGTTTAAAGTTTTCATTCTGTTGAAATTCTCGCTTTAGTAACTCTCGACAATTATTGGAAATGTGTGGAAGTAGTGTCGAAGGTGTGCGAATACCACTCACAGGTAAACCCAAGTATTCCGAGTTCATCGATAGATCTGATGATAATTCCTGTTCAACAATGTGAACTATTGGACTTAAGTAGTTGAGTAAACTCGCCAGGTGCGAAGCTATTTCCTGCATTATAAAGTTGTAGATAGAAGCTGCATGTTGAAGGAAAGTTGGGGAAAATAACAGCCAGTCAGTGATGAGTTTAATGCCAGAAAGAAGGCTGTCAACGAAGTAAGCAGCAACGAAAAGGCGCAGCCAGATATAATCACTACTAGCTGGATCATTGTCATTCAAAATCGCCTTTTCCTTATCTGCAGAACCGCTCCTTTCATGGCCTTCAATACTACTGTCTACCTTTTCGGATTCGCTTTCTGATCTTCTTTCCTTTAACGATGCCTCTGAAGCAAATTTTAAGTAAAAAAGTGAGGAAAATAAAAAAATACCTGTTTCCTTAAAAAAAATTAATTAAATTGAATTTTAGACCTCATTTTATTACCATCGCCTTAATCTCAAACCATACGTTTACATGGGCACAATTACAAAATGTAAGTTTTAGACAAACGGTTAACTACAAGGTAGTTACATTTTAATGGTTAAGTTCTTTTTAGATAGCGGTTCACGTACGCAATGCGTCAGAGACAATCCAAAAACGCTGAGTTCAATGCATTGCAACAACAGAAAGTCTTACCGTGAAGTCGAGTCTCATCGTTCACAAATAATGTCTGACCAGCTTGAGCCGGCATAGATGCAGCCAAAACAATTTTAATTCTTGTCGAGTCCTTTTGAGACTGCGCAACTTCATCGCAAGAAAGTGAAGATTCAGAGTTCTGACGGTCAAATGCATAAAATTAGGCTTCACAAGATAGCTCGTTAGCAAATGGAGTAAATCACAAGACTGCTTCCGCAGAATACAAACGGTTTGCAAATGGTTATCAGCAAATTTAATGACTACGATCTGTGTGCTAAATAGACTTCTTCCAAATCGCATAAGACATTCTTCATACGGAAAACATACCTGAGACTTGAGCTCATTCACATTGGAATCCATATTGTCTTCATCAGGAAAACTCCAATCCTGTTCGTCATAGTCATCGGACTCCTCTGAGTATTCACTATCTTCATCTTCATCCTCTTCACTGAAGGAAGAGTTGAGAAAATCATCCTCTTCCATCATTTGGCAACGGGGCCGAAGTCGCCGTAGGCGGGGACCGCGAGACGACATCTCCGAAGAGCCTGAATCCTCAGTCTCTTCTTCGTCCGAATCCTGGTCCTTTTGCGACCTTACTTCGAGTTCTTCAAAATGCTCCTCCATGTCGCTACTCCTATCGTATATGTCCTCATTGAATGAAGTATCGCCTTAACGACAATTTGAGTAGGTTAAGCGCTCCAGCAAGAAATTAAATGCTCACTAGTAAAATATCTACAAATCTAACAATGGTATTGCTGGTATAAAAGTATGAAAATTCCGAGATGGAAATGGTGATATCGAACGGCAACCGTCACAAGATAAAGTTGCAAAAAAGCAAAAAATTCAGTAAAAACAACCTAAGGAAATCCAAACCAAGGGTTGGAATCAACATCTAAGTCCATTCTACTTAATGCGTAGAAAAATTAGCTCTTTCGTATTACTAATTATGCCAATACATTGCACTAAAACTGAGACGTCTTACTGAGGCTTAACAACAGCCCTGAGCAACATACGTTGTCCTTAATCAACGCTCATCAGTGTAAAACCCCAAGTAAACTAAACAGTTTGACTCTTAATATTAATGGCAGGCAGAAACGCACCTCTTTCACTCCCATCCTTTACCTTTAAATCATTGTTTTCTTGATGAAGGCATTTGCGTGATGTGCTTGGAACACTAAGTTGTACGACGCCCAAACGCTTAAACGCAGCCAATTTAAATATATTTACCGTTTTCGCCATAGCGCGAAAGGAGTGAATGAGGAGTAAATCGAGCGAATAAAGAATAAATAGCGGAAATTCCTTCGAGCGTTCAAACAACTGTGACACTGTAATCTACAAGAAAAAAATGCTTAGTTTTTCGCTTCGGTGGGTTGCTTCTACAAAGATAAACCTACCTCCTGAACTTTATCCTTGTTTTCGGAAAGTAGTTCCGTGAAAAGGAGGACAATGAGTATCATTCGCAAAACAATAGGCGGCAATAAAGGTGTACTCGCCGTTTTCTGCCGGCCAAGGGACTCAGGATCGGGACAAAAATCGGGAACATGGTTAAAGTTTCCGACAAACTTGGGCAGCATGCGATTTATGCACTTGGCACCAAAACGTTTGGTTTCCGAATGTAACATAAAACCGATGTCGTCAACAACCTCATCCAAAAGTTGAACGTCTTCCGGTGCTTTAAGAATTCCCATATCCGACCTGAAAAAAAACTTCTATCATTTACCCGGAAGGCGATCTGACACTTCAGAAGGGCTGACATACTTAAGAAATGCCTGAGCATTACGATGCACTAGAAAGAGGTACTTGATGATAGTAATACGCAAATCCTTCAACCTATATCAAAGGGCTAGGTCAAGATGAAAATTAACAAACTTTATTGCTGCTTTTCGGTTCATAACTTGAGAATGCAAACTTGGCATGGGAAACTTATTCTCTCTCATGCAGACGAAACGAGCCTCATTGTTGAGCAGGAATGTAGCCAAGTTTCCCTTGGCTCCTTCAAAAGGCACAGGTGACACAACAGCCCGGAGGCAGTGGAAAACGGTATTTAGTCCAAAGCATCTGCTAACATCTAGCGTGCCCAGTTGGTTGTGTGGAGCCCCTATTTATTGGAATCGATAAGTGAGCTAACACGGATCAAGGACTTACCATTATCAGGATTGATGGCAGCTGCCAGTTGATAATAAGCACAAGCTGTAGCACGAGAATAAAAATCGCCAACTTCGACGCGATATCGATCTAATTTATGTGTAAAATAATGAACTCGAAACCAAACATAGATCTCCAATGTATATTAGAGTCTTGTATGCCACCCTTTCGGCTAATTGTGAGCTTACAACACTCACTTCTGATTCTTTCGAACCTAAACTCCATAAAACGAATGGAAATATGCGATAGTACGCGATATTCTTTGAATTCCAACCATTTTCCATGCATCTGGCCAAACGTCAGACCGGTAGAATTCTTGTTGGAAGCGCACCAATAGGTTTTGGTAAAAACCGAGGGCACTGACAAGATGCGCCCTGTAGCCCTCAAAAAATTGAGTTTGGTCTCCTACTTCTGGACTCTGGAAAAATGAATGCCCATGATTTCTTACGTGTGCTACTGATTTTGCAATACGTATGGGTTCGTAAAAAACCCTTTGCCACATTAATTCCTCGCACTTGTTGCCAAACTTCACCGGATCCATAAATAACAATTTCAGAAGAATGTTCCTGAGTCTATATAAGTAGATTAATGACACAAAGGACTACCGTAGCCTATAGCCAGTAGCATTTTTGTCAAAAAGTGACTTCGACACAGACTCATTCTTGGATAAAACGTCAAGCCTCTGAATTATTTCACTTGCGCTCCTAAGAATAATCTCCTTGATTAGACTTTATCTACTTGAAAAGCACATCATGCTTGGAAGAAGCTGAGTCCACCGTCTTAGCCCACGCCTCGCCCATGTTTGCACAGTCAGAACAACAAACAGCCGACTAAAACCAACCTTTTCCATTCTTAATATGTCATTTGTATTTTCCTTCCAAAGCTGAATTTCATATAAATTTTAAAAAGTTATGCAAGGAATTTCTGGAAGAATGATAGCTAAAAAGGAAATCGGCGATACACTTAATGAATATCGAAACACTCATCGTCTAAATTCTGTCTGCCTTTTAAATTATGCTCTTGATCCGGTTGAGGCTGGTGCGAGGAATCAGTGATGGAGAGGTCATGCTCTAAAAGACATGCAATTTACTCAAGAGCCATTCATTCATTTATCAATGAAGAAATGTTAGAGATTTGTCTGCCATATCTTCATTCATGCAGACATGATTGGTCGAAATGCTTTGTTCTGTTTGAGTTTTTGTTTGGTTTTACGCAACTTGTAATTCGATTTTTTAGTGACACTGTAACGGCTGGAGACTTGCTCCAAACAAAAGGGGCATAGCGCATGCTTTAAGCATATGTTTTCAGCATAAAGACATTCAACACTCTCCAGATAGCTCCGAGTATATCCCACCTGCTGTATTTGACGTAGCTATAGGAATTTATGCTCTCCTTCCTAATTGACCAAAATTTGATTCTTATATAATATCTTTGTGAGCAAATCGAATACGTCAGAAAGACAATGTATAAAGAACAAAGTTTTGCATAGCTTCAGCTGAGTCTGACGGATCGGCCCGCTCCTCTGTAGTTAAATTCCCTCGATAATTGGTCACCTGAGGTGTGGAGGTTGCTTTGGGCATCGTTTTGTTCTTATAGGCGTGGGTTGACTTATGGGCTAAGCCAAGGTCCTCTTCCTTCTTCTCCTCTTAGAATGCATGCATTCAGTCCAATGTGATGCCTTCTTCTACCTGGCGGGAAATTTCGGAGGGCTACAGATTGTAACCAATTTGAAAGATGAACAAATTACAAACCAGATCGCCCGTGCTAGCTTTGCGTTGAATTTATTTTCCTTATAAGGGAATCATATTAGTGACAGCCTCGAAAGTAGTTGTGTGCACTTGTAATAATCCACAGCGAAAGTTGGTTAACCTCTGAGTCATGTAAGTGATCCAAAGTTCCCAGTTTACCCGTCACAAATATTTTGCCGAGGTATTTCTTTCCCGTTTGTTCTTTCTTTTTTTGGATTCCCGAGGGGAAACGTCTATATCTGGGCCAACAACATCTAGACGACCCACATTAGGCCTGCGGATACTGACATTGCCCAGAGGTCGGCCGGTTTGGTGGCCTTACAGTGGCAAAGGTAGGTTCTGATCTTTGAAATAGCTGGATGAATAATTGACGTATTCTAAATAGTATTAGATCCCTTGCCCTTTAGTTTGCCATTTTGTAACTCTTCTCGTACCAACTTCAGCCATTCCTTAAGTCACGGAAAAATATTAATAGACAAAATATGCTGGAATGCTGGACTAAATATCTGAGACTACTGACATGAGTGAAAGCACACTACACCAAGGCCGAGTAAATCTTCAAACCCATTGTCCACATACCTTTAATAGGGTCTTGGTTCACCGTCACGATAAAAACTGACACCTTACAGTAGCCCTGGCATGCATACACTTGAGGGCACCAATTACTCTGCAGAGGTAAGGCGGTTAACTGACTTCATAATTTCCAACACCATCATGTCTAAGCAATCCGGGAAAAAAGCTGCAAGATGTGAGTCTAAAATAAACGCACCGTAATCACGCTGAAGCTTCGAAAATCGTTTAGCTTGTGCCCAATACTTAACTTGGTGTCCGGCTACGTAAGTAATTAAATAATAATAATAATAAACTTTATCAGTGTGTTAGAGACTCCAGGCTATGCCAGCAGATACATTGCCTTGGACTGTTAATGATATACTTCCCAACATGCTTCCGTGATTTTAAAGTTTATTCATTACATTACTGATGCGACAGGAGTAGAACTTTTGCCTCACCAGCATGAGGCTACTTGCCCCATGTTACAAATTGGTCGCAATTTGGTCGACGCAGCATAACTGCTGCTGCGGACCCCTTGAATGGTACGGAGTAGTGGAACCTGCTGCTTTGCGTTGCCTCTATTGCACTCACACCGCTGTTGTTGACGTCAAATTTTTTCAGATATCTTTGCCACTATTTTAATAGCCGCCTTTCCTTTTGACAACGTTATTGTTCATTGAAGAACCACTCTCTGCAGTAAAATATGCTACCTCTTTGCACGTAGGTGAGTTTTTGTTTTAATTTGGTCTGCAGTCTGACTTCGCCAGTTCATAATTAAGCACTTGAAGGGTAACCATAAGAACAAAAGAATGAACAGCTATGTGGGCCACTAGATATAGGCAAGGTCCACCATTTGATTGTGAGGACTTTGGTACAGAAGAATAAAGTTGCCTTTTCTGAACAACTTCGCCATCGTTGGGCGGTGCATGGGCAGCCCCGTTTAAAATATTTTTTGTTTTAATTATGAACAGTGAAATGTTTTTCATTTGTTGTTGGCCTTCGTGAACTTAAGAACTGTTTCCTTCGAGATCATTTCGGGAAAGATGCTGCATGTATGGGAGAGATTTGAGTAAAATAAGCATGGAGAATTTGTATTGTGCCATTTTATGCCATTTACAACAAACTTGTGGCGTCGTGGACGTTAATTTTGCTAAATAGTGATAATGACTGTCAGATTGTGCAGTTTTACAGTTCTAAGATTTAGTAAATGGTAAAATTATGCGACTCAGCCACAAAACGATGCAATAATGGCTTGAGTTGACTATTGTGACCAGAGCCGCAAAGTTAGTGTTAAGTTAAAAAATTCAATCCGAAAATTTCATTTATTAAAAATTTTTCATACCGTGTATCGAAAACATCATTTTCGGGGAACATTAAGTGCGTTGCATGCCATATGAATTGTCAACCGTCTACATCCTATAACTAACGCCCGAATGCCGCTCTACTCGTATTTCTGCATTTGATAAGACGGATGTATTATCTGCGATATCCTTTCAGTACTTCAGCCATTTCGAATTGAGTGGCACATTTAGATGCATTGTCATCCCTACCTGTTTACCCATCGTATTCAGCCATAAATTGCGGACACCGATTACTTTGAAGTGATTGGTCAAACTCACAGTCATAAACCAGTAGAATAAGGAGTGACTAGGGGGTTGGGCGGGCAGCGCTGCCGCGGGCAGCGGAAGTGGAGCAATGAAAGCCAACCAGATTGCTTGGCGGACAGAAGAGAGCGTATACTTCCTTTCCCTTGGTTAGCGGACAAAGAAAAGGTCAAAAGGCTATTGGTGACGGCTATTATAAAAGTGATTTTACTAATTGGATCGATTTTAAGGAAGTCTGAGAGGTAGGTCTTCACATGTTTTCATATAGAACCCGTGGACACCTAATCTGCATTTATAGTTTCATTGTGGTAATTTTATTGCCCATTGGACTTGAGAATGGATTAGGGGACGACCGACTCCTGCACCCGCTAACTCAAGTCACAGTACGCTAAAATATAGTATCGTGGCAGCAGCGCACACGAAGTGATGCTGCAAGAGGGTTAGCAGTACGGCCGTGCAATGGTTTCTTGACATCTCAAGAAGTGATTCACAATGTTTGTGGCTCCTCTCATACCACATTACCTACAATTTATGCTGATTCAAAAGCGTGTCTTGCTGCAGACTTAAACTAATTAGGTAGTAAGCTTAATTTTAGTGGAAATTATTTCATTGACTCACTGAATAGCATTTTTGAAGTAA